CACTGCCACCCTCCCGCTGCACCACTAGTGAATGTGTTACCAACTGCACTGCCCCAGGATGCCTGCACCATGGCGCTCTGCCTCTGCCAGTGATGGGGTCCTCATTGCCAGCTGGTCAGCAGGTGATTCAGCTTTAAAACCCCAGTTTAGGGCCTCCCCGGTGGCGCAGCGGTTGAGCGCTGGGTTGCGAAGCTGCCCACGGCCTCTGCAGCGCCGGTTCGATCCCCGGCTGCTCCCCGGCCACCGGAGGAGGGTCCCGCATGGCGCGCAGACCTCTCCTGCCGCCCGCTACTCCCCTCAGCAGTGTACTTCGGTCCTTCTGCCTGCTCTGCTCCCCGCTCTGGCTCTGGTGAATTCTCTCACCCTCCCGCGCTTCTGACTGTACCCAGTGCTTGTATAAACAAACAAACAAATAAATAAAACATGCCTCTAAAAAAAAAAAAAAAAAACCAGTTTAGAATCGCTTCCTCAGTACTCTCGGCGCTAATTTTCGGGGGCTAAGTTCCCCGGGACAGGTAGTCTGGGATGGATATTTGAGGTGAGGCAGTTTGTTAGGGTATGAGAGTGTGAAGACCCCAGGATCCCCCAGGAGCTCCGAGTTCAGAATTGTCCATGCATTTCTCTTAGCTTTTGAAACTGCGTTATTATTATAGGTAATGATATAAGATACCTGATATAGGATACCTGTCTTCACTCACTTGAAGAAGTGCTTGAACATGGGCCTCCCCTGGTGGCACAGCGGTTGAGCGCTGGGCTGTGAAGCTTCCCGCAGCCTCTGCAGCTTCCCGCAGCCTCTGCAGCTTCCCGCAGCCTCTGCAGCTTCCCGCAGCCTCTGCAGCGCCAGTTCGATCCCCGGCAGCCAGCGAAGGTCCCACATGGCACGCAGACCTCTCCTGTTGTGCCCACTGCTCCCCTCAGCAGTATATTTTGTCGGTCTGCCTGTTCTGTTCCCCGCTCTGGCTCTGGTGAATTCTCTCACCCTCCCGCACTTCTGACTGTACCCAGTGCTTGTATAAATAAATAAATAAATAAATCTTAAAAAAAAAAAAAGAAGTGCTTGAACAAGAACATGTCTTATCCCCACAACTTTGCATCCTGAGTAATAATATACCCTAATAATTGTTAAGTAGAGTGAACAGTAAGTAAATAAATGAGTGAATAATCAACCTTATGAGTTTCTTTCTTCGCTTTTATGGAAACATTTGAGGTGCTCAGGAAGCAGCATTGCCAGGGAAAAGGCCCTGGATTTTGTAGCTTCTGGAGAAACTGTCCTTACTGGAATCTATCAATTCGTGGATATTTTCCACTCCTCTGGCCCTGTTTTTCTTCCCCCTGTTGACGCTGCTCCAGGCTGAAACATGCTGGCGGCGTCCGGCGTTCTGAGGCCATGTCCAGGAGAGGGCGGCAGAGGCCCGTCCGGCTAGACAGGGAGTGCCTTGCTCTCTAGACTTGCCCTCCTTCCATTCCTTACAGGCACGAAGGAGGATTCTAACTGCAGCTCCGTTAGCGCTATTGCCCCACTTGTAAGGAATCGGAGCTGGCACAGGTCACCCCAGATCACACCAGGCAGTCAGGCCTGCCTACCCCTGGATGTGAGGAATTATCTGCAATAATTCCAAGAAGCTCCTAACTTTTTTAGCCTAAAAGTAAAATAGATCCGAGGGATGGAAGATGTCAGATCACCAGAGGCTCAGGTAGCTCCCATTACAAAGGCCTGCCCTTGCCCTGCGTCCCCTGGCTAAGTGTGGTTCTTTCTCGTCTCCCCCACAGCACCCGCCCCCCACCTCCTGAAGCACGTCATCTACAAGGACAATGTGCATCCACTTCTTATCTCGAAGTTGCGACTAACCCCCCCTAGCTATTCATATCAGTAGTACCCATGACCCAATTGCAAACTCTGGAAACCTTTTGATCTAAATCCATCTCCCCCTTCCTCTGCCATCCACATCCTGTCTGTATTAATGAATGATCCCCACATCCCTCTTCTGCCCATGCAAGAAATCTGGAAGTCTTTCTAAAAGCTGCCCACCCCTTCTTACTCCACCCCATTCGAATCCCCAGGAAGAGTAGAAAACAGGGAGCAGAGTAGCATGGACTGTGGTGATGGACTGTGGGTGCTTTAGGTGGTGGGTGAACTATGGTGACTGCACCTGAGCGGAGAAATCCTATACTGTGAAAAAACAAAGATGTTTAAAAAACAAATCAGGGGGCCTCCCTTGTGGCCTAGGAGTTAAGTCTCAGCTCTATCACACTATCACCAACTGAGGCCTAAGTCTGATCCCCGGCCAGGGAGCTGACCCACATATGGTGCAGCAGACCTCTCCTGTCTCTCCTGCTGCTCCCCTCAGCAGTGTATTTCAGTAGATCCACCTGTTCTGCTCCCCACTCTGTCTCTGGTGAATCCTCTCACCCCCCACACCTCTGGCCTACACCCCAGATCTTCTAAAGAAAAGGGGCGCTGTTGGCTGGCTAAATACTCAACTCCCAGCCTCCTTTATTTTTTAAAGATTATTTATGCATGGAAGAACTGGGGTGTAGGCTAGAGGCTCAGGGGTTGAGAGGATTCACCAGAGACAGAGTGGGGAGCAGAACAGACAGATCTACTGAAATACACTGCTGAGGGGAGCGCCAGGTGACACAGGAGAGGTCTGCTGCTCCATGTGGGTCAGCTCCCTGGATGGGGATCAAACTCGCTGCAGTTGGTGACAGCTATGATAAGGAGAATAAAGGAGGGGTGCTAATGGGTGAGATGCTGCTTTGGCGCTGACCCGGTAGCCATTCCCACTCTTGCAACCTTCTGCCCTAGAAGCTGGAGGAGGTTCCTTTGCTGGTCTCTGTTGCATTTGGAGTGGACCACACAACCCTGGTCTGGCTGTGAGCTGTAGGTGGGCAGAACTTTCTTCCTGATAAAACGGGGGAGGGTCCTCATCCTCCTCTCTGCCTGGAGTGCAGAAAGGGCCACGGGGTGTGCACGCCTTCTGCCACAGTGAGGCCACAGGATAAGGCTGGCAGAGTGAAAAGATGGACTCCTGGTCTGGGGAGATGCCAGACTTCCTATTTATGTTAAAAAGCAGCAGCAACCCCCTTTTGCATAAGCCGCTGTAAGCCAGGTTTTCTGTTACATGAAGAACATACTCACTGGTAGTGGGCAGGAGTCAGCAGAGACCTGCTAAGACGTGACTGTTGGGTGCAGGTGAGTGACATCGGTGGCTTGGACTGTACGATTATCTCCCTACAGGGCTTTCCATTTCTAGTCTTAGTTTCCTCTAATTTGCCGTCCACCCTCTCACACTTTCTAAATCCATCTCTTTACGCTTGGCTGAAATGCCTTGCTGGCTGTCCATTGCCTACATGATAAAAAAAACAAACCTCCTTTGCCTATGACACAGCACCCTCTGGGATTTGTCCCCACCTTCTTGTTTGGCACCGTCTCCCACTGCTCCCACCCTTGCACTTTACACCCCTCCAACAAGATACTCCCCTGGAGACACCTCCTACGTGCCAGGCACTGTCCAGTCATCATTCCTAATCCCTTAGCCCTGAGAGTGGGGAACCACACGTCTTAGTGTCTTAGTGTCTAGAAGAGACGTCGTGCTCAAGGCAGTAAGGTGGCTCGGCCAAGGCTATCCATCTAGGATCTGGATTTAAACTCTGGTCTGCTCCCAGAACACATCAGAGATTTATTTTTCTCACTTCCACAGAGGTCTGGAGAGAGGTGGTTGCTGGGCTGCTCAGGTGCTCAGAGGTGCCGGGAGCACCTTAGGGTCTCCTGATCTTTCCCGTCTGCCACTTCAGAGGACTGGCTTTCTCCCTCCTGCTCGTTGCTCCATGACTTTAAGATGGCAGCTCAGCTCTTGACATCCCCTTCCACATCACACATCAGGAAGAAGGGAGAGCAGGGAAGGCCACACCAGCTTAACCTGCCATGCCACCCCTTCCTTTGGTGAGGAAAGCTTTCCTATAACCCCCAGCACACTTCTGCCTATGGCTGCCCCGAGAAGCAAGGCGGGCTGGGAAATCAGGAAACGTGGGGGTTACAACTGACTTAGAGTCTGAGCCCACTGCTGCCTTTACCAGAGCGACAGCTCTATTAGCAAAGAAGGGGGCATGAGCATGAGCAAGTACCAAACAGGGTCTGCCACTGCCACCCTGCTCAGCAAAATGGAAGCACCTGCCCGCCCTGACTGCCCCACGTCTGCCTTCCTACCTTGCCCTGAAGCAGGATGTTACTAAGGCTGCTGTGCAACTTGCCCACAATAATGGTCGCAGTCATCCTGAGCCCCTTCTGGTGGTGTAAAAGGTTCCTGATAAACTCAAACTGGCAAAGCTACCTCATATCCCACGCTGCCAGTTGTCGCTCAAGCATAGGTTTCCGCCTACAAACTATAAACCTTAACATTCCGTCTTCGGGGAGCTCTCCCACTGAGCCCGCCGGTGGGACCAATAAACCTCTCTCGCTGCACCTGAGTGCCTTCTGGTTTCTCTGAAAAATGGCCGTAACGGTACCTTTCCTACGTGATAAAAAACGAACCTCCTTTGGCTGACACACTATGTGATTTGTCCCCACCTTCTTGTTTGGCGTCGTCTCCTTTCCTGTCACGTGGTAGTTTCCACGAGGCTCCCGTCTCCCCCAAAGCCAGCCCTGGCGTGCTTTCCTCTACCTCCTTCCAGAGGGGTCCCTCCTTCCATCACAAGGAAACCACTCTGTGAGCAATGGGTGTAAAGCTATTGCTCATTCAGTCTCTTCACAGACACTTACTGAGGCCTTGCTCTATGCCAGACAGAGTGTCAGGAGTGGGGATTCAACAGCGAACAAGTTCCATTTTGAGATTTGGTCCCTGCCCCGTGGAGCTTTTCCGACCAACAGGCGAGATGGTCAGCCAGCTCAGGCTTGGGGAGGTAAGCAGCCCAGCTCCCGAACCAGTAACCATGTCGCGGCTGGCAAGGGTGATGTCTCCCATCTCCCTGCAGGGCCCAGCACACTAGGCCCCACGCCAGACACACCGGGGACCGGAGCTTTGTGCATTCTTTACTCAGGAAGGCTTTGCAATGTATCTGAAATAAAATGCATTGATTATTTCTACCAGGAGACCCCCAAGAACAAGCCATTGTACTGTCACAGTGTTAAATCATGCACTCAAGCACCTTGAAAAGCACTGTGCTCTCTCCCTGCACTGTCACAGGTATCCCAGGAGAGGCTCCGTGTGTCTAACATAACACTGCACGTGAGGCCCTTAGTAGGAGTGTGCTCCCTGCTGAAGGCGCCATTTGGATTTTCTAAACAGGGAGACCTCATTGTCAAAGCCATAGCTGCTGAAGTGTGATTCTGGAAGCACTTAAAATAATTCCTCAGGTTTCTATTCTATAGCATTTTATATATAGTCTGTATCGTTCCCTAAATGCCCCGTTTTTGTTGCCCTTTCTACTGCAGATGATGGCAGCTGGGAACAAAATAGAGCAAGAGAAATAAAAATAAGATAACCCCCGCATTAGTCTGTGCTTCTGTTGCCATGGTGACGTGGCCACATGACACACAGGTGAGAGGTCCTTCAGACCGCAGAGCCAATGGGCTGTGGAGGCCAGAGAGGTGGGACATAAACATGGAAACTTCCCTGCCTCCCAAGCCCAGAGAAGACTCCATTCGGCCAACTGGCCCACTCCTGTCTCAGCTGAAAATTAAAAAATGAATGAGCATTTTATTCTCCTAAGCCCTCCAGAGCAAAGCCCACGACCCCAAGTCACCTGCGAGGCTCAGGTTGCACGGCGTTCACGACTCCGCGCGAGGGTTCTATGTCTAAGCTCTCCTCTCTTGCTGTCCTTCCGGTCCAATTACTCTTATCATCGCTGCTATTGCAATAAAAGTTAATCATCACCTGTAAGCTCTGTTCCAGCCACCCAGGAAGTTAAAAGACAGAAACCACCATAGATGTGAGGTTTCTGCTTGTTTCGGGGCCACCATGAGCAGCTATGGTCCTCTTAGGGTCCCTACCCCCATTCTTTCATCCACCCTTGACTCTGGGGGGGTGCCTGGCCTGGGGGGCAGACAGTGGGCAGTAGGGAGGCACTTTGGGAACAGCCCAGCCCCCAAGCCGAGAGGCCTACCCCGAGAGAAACAGGCTCGCAGCCTGCAGGTCAAAGTGGGACCCCAATAGCCCTCCCGTGGAGGATGCCTTCCTCCCTCTGAGTGAAAGAAAGCAGGAAGAACAGGAGAGTCTGTTTTCAATGAGTAATTTTAAAAGCTTTTGCAACAGCAGACAGAGCCCAAGGCAGCCTGGAAACCCACACTGACAGTATCAGGGCTCTCTTGCATCCAGATGACCCTGCAAAATAGAAATGGCTCTGCTAAATCAGGAATGTGACTCTTCCCACCTCACATTAAAAAAAAAAAAAAAGCCCAACCTTCAACATCATTTCAGAAATCACCCTGCCTGAAAACGTGTGATGGTCGTTATCGGCACAGCCGAGTCTGAAGGGGAGGGGAGCAGGAAAACGCTCCATCCAAGACGCTGTGACCATTTGCAGAAGCAGTGGAAACCCACTCGGCTCCCACCATCGGCTCCCACCATCGAGGGTGTAAGGAAAAGGCCATCTGTAGGCGCCCCCTGGAAATCTGCCTTCTGGGAGCGAGGTCTAGATGTACTGCCTCACCGCCGCTTCCTTGTCAGTCTGCTCCAGCACACGCGGCTCTCCATCCTCCCTGTCCTTTCACCAGACGAAGAAGCTGGATCCCTCCTCCTGCCGCAGACATGCTAGACAAACCCTGGGCCTCTCTTCACGGTCCCTAATTCCCCAAAATAGAGTCAAGAAAACTAAACACTCGCATGAAACTTCAATTCCTCCGCTTGGTTTGTTCACACCCAGGCCCGCTAAGCCAGGGCTTATTTTCACAAGAGTAAAGAAGTCTCTGTCTGTAAGCGAGGTTAACACCCCCCACCCCCACCCCCAGGCTGGATTCTTTCTGGTCTCTCTCAACAGCTGAGCATCATGGTTTTGCTAATTAAGCCGCTTTCTTCTCCTTAATGAGCTGCATGCGAATCTTGTTGGGAAGTCTTGGATCCGTGAAATAGTCTGGGATAAGAATCAAAAAGAAAAAGTCATCTAAACCCAAGGGGGAAAGACTGGGCGGGAGAGGCAGCTTACTCTGCTAAAAAGTTAGGATGGCTCGGTCTTAGCAGTTGCTGGTGGCCCCACTTTACATGGCAATGTGAGATGTCTCAGCAAATCCCCACGGTCACCGTGCCCCGCCCCATCAGCCCTGAGTCGGCCAGCTCAGGCGGCCCCAGGAAGGGCTTACACAGGAGGGCCTGTCCCCTCCACCATTGTTCTGGGCCGGCTGAGCCATCAGAGGGGCCTGGAAGTCTCTGGGCTTTCTGCTCCTGGCCCATCGTGGGGCCCAAATAAATGCCAAGCGTTATTCTAGTCTGAATTCGGCTTGCCAGCTCCTGTCTCTGAGATATCACGCCCTCTCTGTGAATATCCTCTCAGAGGACAGCCAGGCTCTGGCAGGATGACGACAGAGAGGGTTTTTATACACCCAGCATAATGTGAATCAGAGGCAGCATCTGCTGTGGCAGCAAAGACATACTTAGATTCAGTTAGAAACGGGTTGAGGACATAACCAACCCCCAGGGCAAGCAGGACCCAAGAAATCCTCCCAGTCCGCCCTTCTTTCTAAATACCACTGACCCCCAGCCATCTGGGGCAGTGGAACCCATTAGAATCACCTGGGGAGCCTTTACAACTGCATGCTGGGCCCTACCCAGACTAATTAAATAAAAATCTCTGGGGGTGGGCCTGGGCATCGGTATTTTTTTAAAGCTCCCCAGGTGATTTTAATGTACAGCCAGGTGGAGAACCAGGCTTTAAGATTTCCAGGGAAAAAGCTGCCAGTATGTTCTGCTGGGAATCTCAAAATTCTTAACAACCCTCACCAGGAGAAAGTTCTGTCTCATTTCTTATCTGCCCTCCTTTTGAGGAAATGACAATGGATGAAAGTCTTGTGCAAAAAGCTCCCTTGGGAGGCAAGAGGTGAAGAAGCACCCCAGCCTCCACAGGCAGAACCTGGGGCTCATTTGTCTGAATACACATGATGGTCTCGCCACTGCCTTACTCACCTGCAGCAAATTCCGGGATGTTGTCTGGTCTTTTCAAAAACATTTCTCTGGAAGACATTAAGGGGTGAGGGGAGATAATTGGAGCTTTCAGGGAGCAGACTGACCTGACAGGCTCCTGACAAAGGCCCTGACATTCACAACATTCCCTCAAGTCTGGAGCAATACGCTGGGTACTGCTGACCTGTACAGACAGCTGTGCTACCAGGTCAAGTTTGTCATTCATACAACAAACATTTTCACAGAGCCAGATACCAAGCCAGGGCGGCAGTAGAGGTGAAGAGCCTGCTGCTTAATTCTTAAAGGGCTCACGTGTGGTGGGAGATAGGCAACCCCACAGTTTTCTTACTCAAAGAAACTACAGTAAAGTAAAAGGTACGTCAAGGGGGCCTCCCTGGTGGCACAAGGGGTTAAGCACATTATGGTGAAGTTATCTGCAGCCACTGTAACAGGAGTTCGATCCCTAGCCAGGGAGGTGCCCACATGGCTCAGCAGACCTCTCCTGTCTTGCCCGCTGCTCCCCTCAGCAGTGGATTTCAGTCAGTCTGCCTGTTCTGCTCCCCACTCTGTCTCTGATGAATCCTCTCACCACGCCCCCCCCCCACACACCTCAGGCTTACACCCCAGGTCTTGTATGCATAAGAAAATAAATCTTTAAAAAAAAAAAAAGGGTAAGTTAAGTAAAAGGTAAGCTCCCAAATGTTCAAAAGGCTAAGTGCAGGGTAAGGAAAAATGTCAGGCTTTTCTGCCCTCCCGCCATCAGGACAGATGATGGATCCTTGCGGTCCTGAATGCATGCCTGATGGCGGGCACCTGGAGTAGGGTGTGGGCATAGGTAGATGGGATTCACCTGGGCTGAGACTGGGCTTTTAAGGGCGGCGTCATGGGGATGCCAGGAAAAGCCGAAAGAGAAGCTGAGAGAGAAGCAAAGAAGCAGAAGCCGAGATCACCGGAGAGCCCAGATAGAGTGAAGACTTGCTGGGGGCTGGGAGGACTGCCAGCCTCCTGGCCCCCCAGCACCCCTGCCTGCCGTGTACCGGGTAAAGGATTCTGACTCCTCCTTTACCAGGGCTGCTGGATCAGGAAACCTGCACTGTGTCATTCCTGCCCCTTTTACACTAAGTAAACCCCAAGAAGTGCTATAAGAGGGTCTAAAACAGTGTGCCAGGACTTAGAGGAGAAAGGCCACTGACTGAAGCACCCCAAAAACCTCCACAGAGCGACTGGCATTTGAGGTACACACAGGATTTCAGGCAGCAGGGTGAAGGTTAAGAAAAAGAGCATTCCAGACCTAGAGACTCCGCGATAGGCAAGGCCTAGAAATGAAACAGCCCATGTTCTAAAGACATGTGCTCCTCAAGGGTAGGAATGGGGTCACATCTATCTCTGTATTTCCTTTTGTATCTCTGGGGTTCAGAGGAGCACTCGTGGAGTGTCTGGGTCCCTCCACAAGGTCAGTGGAGTGCCGGAGCGGTTTGGGCTAGCTGGAGAAAGGAGGTGTGCAGGGAGAAGTGGGAAGCAAAGGAGGCCCCATGATGGAGGAACTTGGATGCTAAGGAGACAGTCAGGCCCAATCAGAAAGGTGATGGGGATGGGTGGATAAAGCTGGTGTAGTCTCACAGCAGTGAGGACAAAGCAGCTGCAAAGCGCTGTTGAGCAGAAGCAGCCAGGCACAGAAGAGTGGCTGTCATGGAGTCCCATTTATATGAAGCATAAAGAAGGCAAAGGGAATGTGAGCCAGAGGTCAGGGTTCTGGCTACCTTTGGAGGGCAGTGACTAGGAGGGGCCACAAAGGGCCTGAGGTGCTAGTCAGGTTCTGTTTCTTCATCTGGACGCTAGTGCCATGTGTGCACTCAGCTTGAGAAAGTTCACTCAGGATATCCCACCTTTCTGTACTTTTTCTTTTTTTAAGATTTATTTATTTATGAATACAAGAACTGGGATACAGGCCAGAGTTGTAGTGGGGTGAGAGGATTCACTAGACAGAGTGGGAAACAACAGGCAGACTGACTGAAATACACTGCAGCGGGTGAGACAGGAGAGGTCTGCTGCGCCATGTGGGATGCTCCCTGGCCAGCCAGGGATTGAACTCCTGTTGCAGAGGCTGTGGATTGCTTCATAGTGCTGTGCTTAACCCCTCGTGCCACCAGGGAGGCCCTGTACTTTGTATTTCAAAAGAATGTTTACAAAAAAGGACAGCACTGTAGATCTACAGAAGATTTCCCAGTTAAGGGATCATGTGATCAGGACTGTGCTTTTGGGAAGATTCATCCACCTGGGCATTTACAAAAACTTCTAATAAAGCCTTTCTATCATTTCACACTTTGCTGTCATATCTCCAGCCTAAAACCTGAGGTCTCTGGGTGCCTAAAGTTAGATCCCTACTCTTTCCACTTTTCCCATCCAAAATCCAAGCATCAAGTGTCCATCCAGGGCCTATCTAGCAGGGACTGGAGAGCTGTGGCTGAATGGTCCTGAATCATTAGGGCCTGAAAACCCAGATGGCAGATCCACTCCGACAAGCCCAGTTCGGAGTTTCTAATGGCTTGAAGCCCGCAGCACAGTGAGGACAGGCAAGCCAAGCAAAGTAAGCAAGAGGGTTCATTCTGGTACCACCCAGAGGAAAAAATAGAAACAAAGGCAAACCCTCATCCCATCCCACTTCCAACCCAGATAGAGAAAGGCCTAAAAGGGGCCAGGGGGATTTCACCTCTTTGGGCAGCTTCAGAGACAGAAAAGGAAAAGCCAGGTAGCCCACCTGGCCGGGGGAGGAAGATGAGGAGGCAGGAGGAGATGCCTGGCTGTTCCTGCAGCAGCCAGGCGCTGACACCCAGCTTTGCCGCCAACTAATGTGGACAGAGAAGCAGGGCCATCCGGACAGTGATTGAAATAACTTCCACTTCACCCCAAGGTACTAATCCTTCTGCTTGTGAACAACGAAGAGGAAGAGTCAGTGTTTTATCATCTATCCCACCTCCCTGCTGGAATCATTCCTAACTTGGATCACAAGCTCCCCAAGACAAGACCTTATCATCCTTCATTTTCCTTTAGAAGAAACAGTGCAAAAAGCAAAGGCCTGATCCCCGGGGTTGACAGTGACAGAATCCCTAACCTTTGCTGAGTTTTACTCCTGGTCCAAGTAAAATCAACCTTCACAGACAGATTTCTCGCTCTCCCCCACCCCCTCCCATATGCCCTCTGAGACTCTGCCGCCACTGGAGAAACGGCTAAAATATAAGGAATAGGGTGACGCAGGAAAAACAAAGCAGCCTGGAAAAAAGATCCCTTCAGGTCTGCTTCTGAGAATAGGAGAGCCCCATTTCTGGCGCCCCAGCGCCCAGGTGCTTACAATACAACACAATGGGAAAACCAGGACTTGGGATACAGCTTCAGCAACTTGGGGAAAGAACTTCACCTCTCCGTGTTTAACTTTTCTCACCTCTAAAAGGGAAGCAATAATGAGCTATCTTTAGCAGAGTTGCTGGGAGGATCAGCAAAAGTATACCAAGATGCCACACTCTGGGCAGGCACTGGGGACACAAACACGGCTCCACCAGTAGAACCACGATCCAGGGAGAGCAAGAGGCGACTGGCAGTGTGTTTACAATACAGTGTGGTAACTGCAAGGAGACCCAGGCAGTGCCTGGAAGGGAAGCCATTATTATTTAAACCTTGCCTTTTTGTCTAAGCCAAGCAGGATTCGAGACAGTGCTACTGTTCTCATCCATTGCTGCCCACGGTTTTCATAATTTTATTTTTTGCTTTGGTTCTGTGCCTTTCATTCCATTAGCACTTTTTTTTTTTTCCATTCAAGCAAATGCCATGCTGGAAGAATATGCTCCAGGATACCGGGAAAATGGTCTTCTTTTCCCTAAGTCTTGGAGGGGAGTCTCTAGAACAGTGTTCTGAGGTAGGGAAGGGTCAGACATGTGAATTTTTAAGTTTCCAGTGATCTTGTTAAACTCCTCTGATGGTGGATAGTGTTCTACACCCAACGGCTGCCTGTTGCGTTTCTCAATGCCAAATTCTTTCAGGGGTCATAAGGTATATATCTCATTACCGCTAATGGGGATGACATTTAATATTTTTGAGAATTTAGAGATAAATGAAAGAAACCTCTGAAGATAACTCAAGAAAACCTTAATGGGTACCACAAATGCAGAGTTACAAAAAAAAAAATCACATCATAGGATACTTCCTAACGTTAGAACCTTCAGGAAGCAATAGGGATTATTTATAGGAAGAGGACACTACATTCATCTACCCCCAACAAGATCCAGCAAAATTTTCCATTAGTTCCTCAAACCCGTCGGGAAAATCACCTACCTGAAGAAACCACTTATAAGCAACTCCACTTCTTTGTGAGTCCTCAGGTACTTTTCGTTGGCAATCCGAGTCTGAATCTGGGGGGGTCAGGGGTGGGGAGGAAGAGGAATGAGCAAAGAGTCACCCTCCATGAAAAGACAGATTTCAGGGCTCGCCCCCTGGAGATGTGAGGGGCTGGGGGAAGCAACGTGTGGGTAAACCGAGCTCTTTTCCCAGTATGCTTGAAAGTTAAGCCATCCATCGACTTACAGACCAGAGTCTCCTCTCCGCCGCTGCCTCCGGCTGGGCTCAGGCGAAGTGGCCTTAACTAAGGTCAGGTCCCCACCTTCGGGAAGTTCTTGTTTGTATCTAAATTAATGTATCTGGCAGTAATTTCGGTCCAATTCTCTGGTCAGATCCCTGTTTTAGTTATTCCTGAACTTTCAGGTACCTGTAAGGTTCAGTTCAGGGTCCCAGAAGCTCAGGGGTCTGGGGGGGGGTCTCCCCCAAGCCTTCCTCCTTTATCTGAAATCAAACTCCCGCGCCCCTTTTCTCGGCGGACCCTCCACACGGGGCCTTATCCTGGGAGAACAGCACTGTGATGGATGCGGGAGGCGGGTGGGAGAGCACCCACCTTGAACTGGGTTAGCTGTTCCTGCTGCGCGGGGCTCAGCGCCCCGGGATCATGCCCCAGCAGCCCGCCCTGCAGCGTCGCCATCTTGTCGCGGTTGTCAAGGCGACGGGGCCGCGAGACGACGCGGCCCCGCCCCCATCCTGACCCCGCCCCCAAAGCCGGCTCTTCCCAGAGCTGGGAGGGGATGCCCAGGAAAGCGGTTCAGGGTCTGCTCTGAAGCCTGGGAGTCGGGTGGGGAGGGTCTCTACGGAATCTCCTTCCCCAGCCTCCTAGACTGGTTTCTGGGCTTATGTATACGCAATGAGCCCTTCTACTTGACCTTCCCAACTGCGAAGATTTTTCTCCCCTAACGCTGAGCAAAACTGGAGTCTGGGGTCAGGAACAAAATTTGGTTCCTGACTCTCGCTGGGGTGAAGGCTGGATGAAGCCTAGTAGCAGGAAAAGCGCATCCAGTCCTTTTCCCTTCCCCGGACCCGGAAGCCAAATCCTGCCATCTGTCCTGACAGACAGAAGTCTTGGAATCTTAAAACAACTTGAAATTATCCCACAGGATGGAGTGAATTGATTTTTGCAAACGAGGAAATGTTCTGAGATTTTATTTATTTTTTTAAAGATTTATTTATGCATACAAGAGCTGGGGTACAGGCCAGAGGTGGGGGGGTGGTGAGAGGGTTCATCAGAGACAGAGTGGGGAACAGAACAGGCAGACTGACTGAAATACACTGCTGAGGGGAGCAGGCAAGACAGGAGAGGTCTGCTGCGTCATGTGGGTTGCTCCCTGGCCGGGTGGGGAATCGAACTCATGCTGCAGAGGCTGTGGACAGCTTCATAGGTTGTGTCTTAACCCCTGCACCACCAGGGAGGCCCTGTTCTGAGATTTTAAATACTGGAACAAAACATCTGGGGCACATCCTGCCTGAAGTTTCTCCTCATGGAATAGAATACCATGCTCCTCATAAATCCTAAAGCATTTCTCCCATTCCTAATACAGTAGAGGAGGGGAAAGGCAGTTGGTCTTTAAGATATGTTCTTCTAGTATCTAATTAAGAAAGGGAAGTGAAACATAAAGCAGAGAGCTGAAAATAGCGGCTTGGAAAGGGCAGGAGGCTGCCTGCCAATACACACTTGCTGAGCTTCTACACCCCCAGAGATCATGCCCTGCAGATGCTGCTGAGAGGCAGAGAAGAGAACCCCAAAGGGAAGCTGTCTTTTTGAGTTTGTGAACAACTGCCCCAAGGAGCAAAGAAAGAACATGAGAAATGAGCCCAGCATTAGCCAGGCCTTGGAGGAGTCCCTCAGTGGCCTGCCTCTCTCCTTTCCAGCAAAGACTGAGGTAAAGAAGGGGGAAATGTGGCAGTTCCCAAGCCAGGAAAAACACACAAGAGGTAGATTAGGTAGTGGGCTACAGGCTGCCTCCCAGGGACCCCAGCTGCGTTAGTAATCATTTTGGTTGTTTATTTTTTTAAAGATACTTATTTTTATTTATACAAGAACCAGGGTACAGGCCAGAGGTGTGGGGGATGAGAGGATTCACCAGAGACAGAGCGGGAAACAGAACAGGCAGACTGACTAGCAGCGGGCGAGACAGGAGAGGTTTGCCACACCATGCGGGTTGCTCCGAGGCTGGCGGGGATCGAACCACTGCAGAGGTTGCGTACAGCTTCACAGCGCTATGCTCAACCACACAACCACCTGCACCTCCAGGGAGGCCCTTGGTTGTTTATTTTTTAGGAGAGAGCTTTAATAGAGTGAGAGATAGATAAGCTGCCATCTGTCAGAAGTGATTTTTTTTCATGCAGGAGCAGAGGTTAATCAGAGTGGATAGTTCCTGGAGGTCAAGGCCTTGTCTTCTCATCCCTCCACCCCCTCGGAGAAAAAAGTAGTGGGTCCTCTAGAGCAGGATGGTCACCCTGTGGCTACTGAGCCCCTGGAATGTGGCTCTAAGTACCAGATGTACCTTAAGTGTGAAATACACACTGGATTTTTAAGGACTTAATATGGAAAAAAAAGTAAATGATCTCATTAATAATCTACATATTGAATACATGTTGAATATTTTGTATGTAATATGTAAGCATGTTGGATAATATTTTGAATATATCGGTTAAAATGTTTAATTGAATTTCACTTTTTCTTACATTTTAATGTGGCTACTAGGACTTTTTTAACTATTTTATGGCTTGCTTTATATTAAATAGTGCTGATCTACACATGCACACACACAAAGAGGTGCGTGCGCTGCTCCCTCATCCTTCCCGCCCCATGCATAATATTAGTGGAGATTCTCTTGCTAGTTCATGATTTTCTTGTGCTTTGAGAATCAAGCAAAACCTTTTTTGGCCAATCACACCCCATAATTCAAGTCCCAAATACCCCATGTGTAAACAAGAGTGGGCACTTTTATTTTCTTACCAGCGTTTCGTACTCACTGTTGCTTGTGGTGTTGGCCGATCTTACCTCTCCGCTTGAGGTAGAAGCTTCTTGAGGGAAGGAAGGTTATATAATCAATTCTTTGTGCACACTCACAGATTTTGCTGCAAATGTCTTCACTCTGTTTTCAATTTGCCAGGCCAAAAAGGATTTGGTGCCCAGCCACCCTGCCCATACATCCCACCATTATATTTTGCCCTTACTAAAAAATACCCAAATTATTCAGCATTTCACATTTCAAAAAAAATCTAAAACCTGGAGTAGAGCTCTCCCTTTATAAAGTCAATAATCTTTATGTTGTAGGGCAGCCTAGCTTTGAATTAAGAGGAATAACAGGAAGGATGAGGTTAGACATGGGGGCAGACAAAGTACCTTGTAGGGAAATTGGGCTTTGAAGTTTCATTTCTGCCTGGAGAGCAACTCCCCAGAATGGACCTCTGAGTCATAGGGTGTTTTCTCCCAGACTTGACATGAGAAGATTCCCCTTCCATGGCCTGAAGGAAGACAGAGATGTGCCCAGAGCCACCCAGCAAGGCGGGCCTGACAGAGCTCCCACCTCTTCTCCCCTAAATTCTGCTTCTTCTGTCAGACTGAAACCTTCCATCTGGGGACTACAAACTAAGCCAAGGATTAGAGGTGTTTTGCTGCCGGCAGCTGTCTCCCCAATTGCTGGCTGGGAGGAAGAGCAAGGGGAGTTCATTATAATTCATTTTTGTGAATGTTTAATATTTCAATTAATATGATTAGCCTGAAGCCTGAATGAGCAGCAGGGCGGCAGATATGCTGACAAGACACAGAGTAATGAGATCAACAGGGCTGCGGGGTCTTCCTAGGCCCCATCCTCAGAGGGCGTGATCTGTTTAGCATCTCCATAAATACCAAGATCAGATTAGAAGCAAGAAGAGGAGCATGGGGGCAGGGTGGGTCAGTGGAAAGTTACTTTCCAGATGTGTTTGCACTCTTGAGTCCCTGGCACCTCCATCACATACTCTGACTACTCAACTCGTACTTTCTCCCACCCACCCAACTTAGGGGATCCTGCTGGGACATCCATTGGATAAAGGGCAATCATATCTACACACAAGCACACACACCTGTCAAAATCTGATTTCAGGCCACAAAAATCCAAGTTAAGGGAGGATGGAAGGTGGTTAACAGAAAATCACGCAGTAGAAAGGACATCTCTCACTAGGACTCAAATGAAGACACAAGAGAAAGAAAGACCATGCTTAACCATTTCTCCCATTCCCAAGTGGAGCATTTGCTGTGGGAGTTAAACTTACAGGCTCAGATAGAGACAGACTGCCCAGGGCTCCACTCTCAGCAAGATCTCTTTCTAGCCGTGACATTAGGTGAGTCATCGCACCTGCCTGTGCCTTGGTTTCCTCATCTTTATGTGGAGATAATGATAGAAACGGCATCACAATGATGCTGAAGGTTAAACAAGTTAGTAAACATAAAGCACTTGGAACAGTGCCTGGGACACTGTAAGTGCTTCCTGAGCGCTGTTACTTTCCTTCCACAAGAGGAGCCTACTTGCCATGACAGCTGACCAGTAAGGGCTGCTGGGGTTGGTTGGGAGGTATTCTGTGGAGACATCAGCCCTCATCTTGGGAGAAGAATGACAACAGGCAGGGTGTTCCACAAGAGTTGTCAGCCTGATGCAAGGCAAGAGCTGCCTGTCCAGAGGAGTTGATATCAGTGATACTTCATGCATGGGGACAGGGGGTGGGGGGGCGGGAAGGGGGAAGCTATGAGGCCAGTGCAAAGAGGTGGTCAAGCTCCTCTGAGCTTATGCAGCAAAGCCATCATCTATAGACATGTAAGTTGTTTAGGGGAGTAATAGTCCCCCAATGTGTTTCCCCCACCCCTCAATGGGGGAAGTGGTGGAAAGCAAAGGGAGGAGTAATTGGGTTTCCTTTGCCCTGGAGGGAAACTTGACAGCGGTGGTTGTTTCCACTGTAGGACTCAGGAACTCACTGTTGTCAGAGGTTCTTTGCATCAACTCTCTATTCGAGAAATATTTGTTAAGCACCTACTATGTAGGAGTAAGACACTGTGCTAGACACTGTGAACAGTAAATGCTGAATTAAACAGTGTCCTGGTCTTCCAGGCACTTACAAGTGAGAGCTCCCGCTGTCACCACAGCCTCCCCGCCCACACACTTATACACACAAACCCCCCAGAGGGCGAGAAGGGGGAGTCGGCAAATGCCAGCAAGACACAGTTTTCCTTGGTTCCTTATCTGAAAAACGCAGTTTTCTCTCTGAACTCATCCTGCCCCGCTCTCCCCTGCCCCGCCCCGCCCTTCCCTCTTTGCTCTCTGGGTTACTTTGGCCCTTTTCCCCCAGGCTCTGTGACCTGCTTCCCTCTCAGCGACACCTCCCTCCTTCCCCCCACCGCAACCTGCCCAACTGTGCCTAAGCCATTTTCTCTCCTGGTTTCCTTCCTTGGCTCCCTACTCTGGGTCTCCCCAGATGCCTGGCTCCCCTCTCTTCCTCCCCCCAACTCCCCTCTCGTGGGTCTTCTTTTCCAGCACCGGGGACAGCTCCAGCCCCCGGAACAATGGACCCCACTTTAGGGTTCCTCTATAAATTCTCCATCTTAGTGCCTTGCCCAACTCCTGACTGAGGAGTAAGATGGGGGAAGGGTTATTATCAACAGGACCAGCTGCTCTTCTGGGGGCGGGAAGGGAGTCGGGGAGGAAGGAGATAAAGAGGGCGTGGCTCTTGTCGGGATTGTGCGTCCCTCTCCAGGGTAGAGAATTTGTATTCCACCCCTGAGACTGACATCACTGATGTCAGGGGAAAGGAGGTGGGAGTGGGGAGGGGGGTGTGGAGGGGGGAGGTTTTTGTTGAGGAGAGCACGGCCGGAGAGCAGAGCTCCGGGACCCAGGTGACCGGGAAAGCAGGCAGCCCCAGCGGCGGGAGCAGCCAGCAGCAGCCCAGGCCCGGGGACTGGGGTGGGGGTGGGAGGGGGGCTAAGGGAGGACCTGAAGGGGGGCGGCAGGGCCAAAGGGACCCCCGGAGCCCTGCCGCCATCAGAGATCAAGCATCTGGCATCAGGGATCTTCGGACCCAGCAGAAGGATCAGCCACAGGGGAGGTGTCCTCCTGGGGAAGCCAACGAGAGCTCCACCTGCCCCACATCAGGAGTGCCCCCCACCCTCCCCTGCCCGACGCTGCTGGCAACCCTACCAGGCCCCTAACCCCTCGGCCTCCTCTCCCATCGCCTTCCTCAAGCCCTTTTCTCCACCTCTGGCTCTTATCTCAAATCCCAGTTCCCAGCACTTCTGCTACCCCCCTAACCCTCCAGGCTTTGGCCACAGTGACCCCCATCCTGGGATATTTGCCAGATCTCTGGGAGGGAGATCGTTGTTTGGGCTATGCCCCCTGGTGGCATGACAGTGTCTGCCTAGACCCCTGACCCCTCGCCCTCAACTCCCTCCCTGGGCCTCCTTTGTGTGAAGAGCTGCCCCTTCTACTCAGCACTGGGGTTGGGGGCCAAAGGGAAAGCCAGCCCCGGCTGGGCCCCTGGCCCCCACCGCTTGCCTACTTGCTAGGCAGCTCCCCCCTGGCCTTTGGGCCTCTCCCTGCTCCCCACGGCCCCTCCTCCTGGGCCGCCCCAATGAAGGAGCCGGATGCCATCAAGCTGTTTGTGGGGCAGATCCCGAGGCATCTGGAGGAAAAGGACCTGAAGCCCATCTTCGAACAGTTCGGGCGGATCTTCGAGCTGACGGTCATCAAGGACAAGTACACCGGGCTGCACAAGGGTGAGGGTCAGGCCAGGCTGGAGAGGCTCCAGGGGTGGACTGGGCAGAAGGGGGGGACCAGGCTGGAAGGACAGAGTGGCCGGAAAGGGTCAATCTAGAAGGAAAAGAGTTCAGGAGCTGGGAGTGTGCATGAGGAGCTCAGCCAGGAGGGCCAGGGGGTTCCAGAGGGAGGGACAAGGAGGGCCTCTTTGAGGAGGGAAGAGTTGTCAAGGGATCTGCAGAGACACGGATCCCAAGATGAGGAAGGGGTGTCATGGATGAACTCAACGAAGCATGGAGGGATAAGAGCGCTGGTTTGGGAGACCAGGAGCTAGGCAGGTGAGTGTGTGTGTGTGTGTGTGTGCACGCACGCGTGTGTATAAGAGACTCTTACTAGCCTAGAATACTATTAGGATGGGGGTTGGAACAGGCTCAGGGGCTTAACCTAGAAAGAATGGACTGGAACTGGGCAGGGAAGCTCCAGGAAGAGGGGCCTGAGAAGCTGGATGTGAAGGACAGAGGTTGGTATAGACCTGCCTGGGAAGTGTGGAGGACTTGGAAAGTTAAGAGATCTGGGGGTATTGGGAGGAGGCACCAGGGCTGAGGCTCAGCAGGGCCAGAGCCAGGTCGGGACTTGAAGGATCCAAGCTCTGGGTGGGAGTCAGGGGAGGGGGACCGGAGGGACCACACTGCCTCTCCCTCCATCAGCCCAGGGACTGCCAGCTAACTGCTCTTCCCTTTCCTTCACCTCTATTCCACTTCACCCTCCACCTGCCTCTCATGGAGTTGGGGAGAGATGAGGAAACAGAAAAAAAATGTGAGAGGAGTGGGATGATGATGACCAAGATGGAGGAAAGTGGAGGTGGAGGAGAATGGGAAAGGAGACCAGCTAAGGAGGAGAGAAAGCCACACTACACACTTGCCTGGCGATCACATGCCCCTTCTCCTCCCCCACACAAAGCCCCATCTCCCGACAGCCCCAGCTTCCGCCTGCTCCATCACCACCTCCATTTAAGCCTCCTGGTCCCTGGGTCTCTGCCCCAGGCTCCCTGGGACAGAATGTCTACCCTGTCCCAGACACCAACCACCCCAGCAGGCAGAAGGGGGCAAGAAGGGACAGTTTCCCAGGCCTCAGTCTTATGGGGGGAGCCTTTTAGGGAGGGGAGGCCGGGGACTCACCCCCACCCCGGTCTCTCTCTGCCCCCGGCCCTCCTTAGGATGTGCCTTCCTGACATACTGTGCCCGCGATTCAGCCCTGAAGGCCCAGAGCGCCCTGCACGAACAGAAGACGCTTCCAGGGGTGAGTCCCGGCCTTTCCAAGGCCCGGGGGCTGAGAAGGGCCTTAAAAGGGGCAGGGGGCTCACCACCTTCCCGAGACACTGAGCATATTTTCCACCTGTCCTCACCAGGAAGTCCCTCTCTCCTTCTAGTGTCCCTCTTTCTTGCTGTAGATGCATTTCTTCCCACCTGGAGAGAAGGGAAACAGGACTAGCGGAGTAAATGTGGCCTTTGCAAGGAGCAGGTGCAGCCCCATTCCCTGCTTTCCAAACTGCCCATCGAGCAGCACTTAGAGGGCAGAACTGACTGGTTGTGGGCCTGGGGATAATGCTTTGGACACCCGCATGGGGCAGAATGCACCTCTCTTGGGACTCTGGGGAGGAAGTCTTGCTGTGAGGAGGAGAGGTTCCTGTGGCCTGAGATGGGCAGCAGGTGCCTGTCGGACTGGCATCTCGGGGCTGGCTTCTGAGCTTGAACAGGCTCACCCTGTGTCTCCCTGAAAGAGTGGGGCAATGAGGCCACTGGGTATCGGTGGGGCAGGGCCTGGTGGGGCCTGGGCTGGGAGTGAGACTGGGGCTGAGCAAGGGCAGGGGCAGACATCCCTGTGGGGGATCAGACCTGACCCCACCAAACACACACAGGGAGGCTGGGGAGGCCTCCTTCCTGCAGGGTCAGAGTTCTTTGTCTCTTCTTAGCCAGCCTTGCAGGCCTGAATGGCAACCAAGGTTAGGGATAAAGACTCTTAGACTGCCCCCGACCCCACCAACAAGGGGGAAAGGATGGGCCATTACCTTTCTCTTTACTTGCTTTTTCTTGTTGTTTTCCCACACTGCGAACCCCAGGAAGTACTTCCAGAGAGCTGGCTCCATCCCTCCCATCAGCAAATATTTGCTGAGCACGGTCTGGGTGCAGGAGACACACCTGTCACAGCCCCAACCCCTTCCCTTCCGGGGAGCTGGGCAAGGAGGCTGATGCTCCATCTCTTCCTGGGAGAGAAATAGATTAGACACTGGGGAAAGAGGGTGGGGGTTAGGAAAATTAGGACTGTTTCAACCATTCCTGACTTCGAACCCTGCAGAGGTCTGTGGTCCTCTCGGGAAGTAAATGCTACTGCCAGCATCCCCCCACCCCCACCCCGGCCCACTATCTGATCCCAGCCCGGGAAGATGCCCAGAGCAGCCCTTGCCCCGGAGAGAAGGAGCCACACACCTGTGTGAGCATCCAGGGATCCCAGGTGCACGTGTGGTTGAGTGCAGGAGCGGGTGGGGTGCTGGTGGGGGCAAGGGTGTGGGCACGCACCTCCCTGGGAAGCCTGCTTCTCATCACATCACATCACCACC